CACACACACACACACACACACACATAGCAGCAGAAGTACAATCAGTGGTCACAAGGTGCAACAGTAAAGTAAAGTGCCAGTGGCATGGTGAAGTGACTATGGAATGTTCATGTGGTTTTCTTCAGTGTGTTGATGAGTCTGATGGCTTGTGGAAAGAAGCTGTTACTCAGTCTGCTTGTGCGGGCCCGCAGGTTGCGGTATGTGTGTGCCAAGTCATGGATTCTAATCACAAAACTTGGAGTTGAGGATAAAAATATTTACATTTATTTTCAAAAACACCTGATTGACTTGAATGTAATGATTTGTGAGTGCAAATGTTTGCTTTTCGACCAGAAATAACATAACAGCTCCCCACACCCAATTCTTTTAGGATGCACCAAAATCATGAGAGGAGCAAGTCAGTAAGGAATTGACAAAGAGAAGCAAAAAAAATTGAATATGGCTTATTTGAGACATAATAGCAATAAAACAAGCAACAGAAAATTTCAATCAAGACGCCAGGGGAAACCACTGCTTTCAGGATTTAGCACTCTTAGATTGTTCTCTCTCCTTATATCAAGTCACACTTCTTAAAGATGACACCAAAAATCAAATGTGGTTGCCACACCTTTGAAGTTTGAAAGATGTGTGCTTATTAGAGAGGTCTCATGATGACAGACTCATCCACGCACTAAATACCTCCGCTAGACTGTACATAGTTCTACGAAGCTTTGTTCAGATGACCAGTTGTTTTCTTCAGCAGTTTTATCAAGTTTCAACTGAAAGCCTGTTCTGCATTTAAAGGTAAGATGTCACTGAGTGAGAGCCCCAGCTAGCTGCCACTATTTATGCAAGCCTCTGCTGTGTGGTTATCATGTGTGGAAAAGCAGGAACGCAGTGAAATAAAAAAAAGTGTATTTTAATAAGGCAATGGGACTTCAGCAAGACAGGACTTAGAAGGGAAGTCCATAATCCACCAATAGAAAATCACTGGCAACCAGAAAAGAGTGCAAGTGGCCAAACTGATAAGAACAAAAGGAACACAACAAATGGAGAACAAGGTAACAACAAGACAAAGGGAAGCACAGACGTATATACACAAGGGCTAATTAAACACAGGTGAAACTTATTAGGAACAGTTGCAGATAATCACAGGACAAAGTGGGAAGTCATAGACAGACAAGGAACAAGATTTCAAAAATAAAACAGGAATCAGAACTCAAATCAACCAAACAGAACACAATTCTAAACACAAACAAACCATGGTCCTAATTAACCCATAATCAGAAAGGGCCATAACAGTCTTTCAATGTCTTTCACAAAAGTTAATTTCCACAATGGCAGAATTATGACAGTGGAAGGCTGTCGGTTTTATTGCAGATAGGAACTTTGAGTGCATGCTTTGGCTGCAGGTGTGCATTGCTTTTAAGTATGGGACAGTAAAAAGTCATAGCAGCATAGCAGCTGATGAAGTTCTGATGAAATATTTTGGGCAGTTTTGGGTGTGATCATTGGTTTTTAATCATTTTTAAAGGCTGGAAATCAATCACTTTATTTGGCTTCTGCACGGGGATCATCAAAATAATGCTTGCCCAGCAGCTAGTTTGGCACTCCCAAAAATAAGTTATCAGAAGCCAAGCCGAGAGGAATTCAGTTAGCAGTATCACCATGCCTAGGAGATGTTAGGATCCCCGAGGGATCGGACCCCAGAACAACAAAGTTTATCCTCAGTAACACACAATGAGATACACACAAGGATAATGCAGGAGGGAAGCAGGCAAGGGTGAATGGTCCAGAGCTCGAGGCAGGAGAGAGGTAGGGTGGTACGGCTGTGGTAGGAGAACAGCGAGCTGATGATTGGGGTTCCTGAGACACAAAGACACAGGGTGAACACAGGGCAACGAAGAGCTAACCTAAATGCCTAGTTCTAACTGAAATCTAATTCTAACTCTAACCCTAAACCTAGGTCTTAACCCTCACACAGCACATTGAAAAAGTGAGGAACGGTCAAAATGTCCTTACTGTGTAGGGTCTATGCTTAAAATGGTCCTCACAAAGATATATAAATACAGGAGCGCGCGCACACACACACACACACACACACTGCTATTTACATGAAACAATGTGGAACAATGGTTGTGGTTGCGGTTAATGTTCGCCACATTTCTGCATCTGGGTCCCCTTGAACAAGAAAAATAGAAGGGAGATATGGGTGAAACAAAGTGAGGGAGGGAGAGAAGAAAAGAGAAAGCAAGGGAGCAGAGGAGCAGAGAGGGTGACAGACTGCTGCACTGCAGTAGTAGAATCAACAAATGTTAATACTTTTTGACACCCAGTGCCTGTGTGCTTTGAGGATTCTGAGAATTTGTTTCCTTCCCTCTGCAGATAATAATGTATGACAAGTGTGGGATGGACACTTGGTCACTACAGTCTCTATCAGTCTGCAAGTCTGCCATCGTATCTCAGTGCCATTTATCTTCCCCTTTACTGTGGGAAATAGTAATGCATGGAAAGATGTGTGTTTATGTGCTTTATGGGCTATCTTCCGCTCTGAGTGTTGCTTCCAACAGCGATGAAATTAGTTATAATCTCATGTGTAGGTGGTGATAATAAAAACTTCATGTGTATTGCTTCAATTGACAATGTTTACCGAGTGCTGGAGGAGAGAGAAAGGACAGTCTCAAGGTTAGACAATTGAAGAGGAAATGAAGGGGAGGATTTTATATTACAAGGATCTGTAATATTTAAGAGGGAACACTGAAAAATAAGACAATGCTGAGATGTCTCTAACTTTTTTTTATTCTTGCTTTGCATTGCTGATATCTTCAGAGAGATGTTGTTTACTACAACATGGCCTGAAAACAGCATCACTAACAGCTATTAAAAAGTCAAATCAAGTTCAAGCTGCATTGCTGAAAAAAGGAGGGAGGGAGACAGACACAGACAAAGAGGAGGTGGGGGAGAAGGGCAGAGCTGTGGGGACACAGCTGCATACATTTAGCCAGCCAACCAGTCAGCGAGTCAATCAGCCTTCCAGTACAGGCAGTCAGTCTGGCTACAGCTGTCTGTCAATGTTGCTGCGGCAGAGTGGCGCAGTGCCACACAAACTCTCTCCTGCTCTCTGTCTGTCTGTGCTGTTCTGTCAATGCTTGCTCTCTCTTACTGCTCCTAAACATCCCCTCTCCTAAAGTGTCTCTCTCTCCATCTGTCTTTCCCTCTGTCTGTCTCTGTCATGCAACCTGATACACACACACAGAGCAGGAGGGAGGTCAGAGGGGGAGTTAAGAGTACAACATTCATAGCCATGTATCAACATGTGAACTGTGATTCAGTGGCTGAGAGGGCAAGACTTTTATTTTGCCTTTTAGTGCTGCTACATAGAAAAATACTGAGTCCTCTCACTCTCTAATAGTGCCTGGATATTCAAAATAAAAGATAGTTACAGGATGTTACCAGGAAACCCGAAAGGATTTCAAAATAAAAAAAAAACAAATACTTACAAGCAAAGCCTGAAGGAGAATGGATTTTCAAGCTTAAAGCACCCAGGTGGTAAAAATCCCACGGATATTTGCAGGATGTTACCAGGAAACCTGAAAAGAGGCTGGCACACTGTTACGGCCCCAGCCCATGTCTGTGTCCTGTCTGTGTATGGTGTGTATGCTGTGTGGGTGTGTCTTGC